AATCCTTTCTCAGACCGAACGGGGAAATATATATACCCCCCCTCTCAGAGGCTCCAAAAAAATATGCCCCTCGGCGCCGATTGAATTTTGTATCTTGTGTATGCTAGAGATGAAATTTGCATCCGTACTTTACTTCCATTATTTTTCGTGGTCAACCAATATTTGAACCTGCAACGATTCTATTTTCGATATTTGATTGTTTCTCTGAGCCAAGCTTTAGTTTTAATCATCTTAGAAACCCATCCTGACATAATAATTATAGTAACAACTCAAGCATGCTGAACATGTGTGCCTCCTTTTTGCGTTTTTTCTGGCGAGAAGAGGCAGACGCGCTCTTTCTCTGTAACTGTGACTCGTACTTCACCCTCGCCTCGCACCCGCCTGACGCTCGCACGTGCTTCCACGCGACTGAAAAACACAAAATAAACTACGGCCGTTCTGCAGGCTTTTATATATTAACAATACGAATATCTTTCGTGGTTCACGATGCAACTCCTAACAATACGCTTTAGTGTCCATCTTCATATGTTAGAAGTGTTTCTTCAGAAACCTCTTTATACGAGGCAGTAGGATTTCGGCAGAAAGTCATAAATAGTAAAATTATAATCGAAATACATATGTCGAGACTCATCAAAGCAAGGAATAGATTCTGCTCAATTTGATCCACCGAAACCAAAATGACTAATACCGGTACATTGATGAAGACTCGGTAAAAAAGGGCCGTTGGGACAAACGGTCGATTAACAGCGCATGCGTTCGTTATGTGATACCAACCGTGAATGGATAGGGTAAAAAACGCGCATGCCAAGAAGCCAGCGGAGTGAGCCTGGAACTCATCGAGCTGTAGAATGTCAGAAGCGATGTCAGGCCTTATAACGAACACGAGCCAGAAGAACAACTGAAACACGCCAATGGAAAGGATGACTGCCATGTCTGCGAAGATGTTTCGGCAAGAAATTCCCGATGAGGATCCCTCTGTTTCGCGGCACCATAACAGCAGGGTGATCAGGGGTAGTAATGTATCTATCAGCATGAACACCAGCGCAAATGATAACGGGATATTTTCTCTGAGGACCAGCATGAGTAAGATTCCATTTACGCCGATGAGACGGGATGGAATGGACCCTAAAATGACCCCATGCTTGGGTACTTGGTTACTGGAACGCGCTGAGATGACGCCTATGAAGCCAATTATGAATACGCCCAATCCTACAAGACGAAGGTACCCTTCAGTACGGCCTTCGAAGCGTAACAGTAACAGAAACTTCCACAGCTGAGGGCAAAGGAGCAAACTGCCTCCTCCCAGGCAATAGGTAACGAAGGCCGACCACTGGGTAAATTTTTGAGTGTTGGTCAGCGGTTGTGTTCTTGGGTAAGACATCATGAATAAAAACCAGTCACGGAAAGTAGCTTCGGTGGTCTCCATGGTCTAAAATTTAATTAGATAAAAATTAAGAAATATTTCAAGTATCGAGCGGGGTTGTCCGCATAAAGTACAGATGTCCGCTGAGCGGTTCATTTTAGAAAAGGACCAGTTGATATTTCTCGCCTGGGAGAATCAGAGGCTTCTTTTTTTGGGGGGGGGATCACATGGTCTTTAGGGGAACGGAGGAGGGAATCAGTCGTCGGTGACAGAATGTAAGGGGGGAAACAATAGAAAATTGACTTCCTATGAGGAGGACTATTGGAATGCTACAGAGCCTGGGATGGGAATTAGGTGAATTTAATTGTGACAAAAAGCATCATCGGATCCCTGCGCGCAGTCCCTAGACTCATTCAAAACAAGTATCAGTGTTATCTGTTATTTCCGCTTTGCGGTTTCAGACACACAAAGGTATTTGCACGGGTCAGTAAATATTTAAGTACGCGCTTCATTAAAACGTTCTCCTACGACTGCCTCTCTTGTTCGATCCTTAGCGCTATTGATCTGTTATTGTAAGTAGCGCTATATAAGAAATAAATTATTATTAAATTATTAATTATTATTATTTGCAAAAATGCACGCCACAAAAATAATTCAAGACTTCTATGACAGTGTTGAACCTTGCTGGAGAGGTCAAGCTTTAGTTGAATTAAGTACCTTTTGTTCACGGCCCGCAGGTTGCATCTTAATTAACTGTTGTCTCTTTACTCATTATCTTTGCTCCCGATGAAAATTTTTAGGAAAAACTTTTTATTCATTTCGAAAATCCTGGTCTCAGTGATCGATGAATACTTTTGGATATCATTCCAGCCTCAACCGCCATGTTCTTGAGTTGGTTCTCACTCAAGATCATTTATGCTTTCTTCAAGAAATCGACTTCAACTTATGTAATGGAGATTCGACTCAAAGAACTTATTCTGCACGACAACATCTTAGACCATTACCTAACAATAGCACAGGATTAACTTTATTGTAGCCGCTAATAAACCGTTACTCCTTCGAATATCTAAATTAACTCTACCGTGAATAACCAAACGTTGAGACATAAAATTGTCGGCGTTTACAGCATCGCACTAATAAGCAGTAACACAGTCAACTTCGAAGTTTACAACAGAAAAATTAAATTAAGGCAAATAACTTAAACTACCTGAGGCAATCACTGACTTATTTACCTGTAATTGCAAAGTATCCACCGCTGGAGCTCCTTATAACCGAAGGAAAATTTCTTACGTCCAATCAAGAAGACGTCGTACTACGTAATCAACAAAACTGATTAGGTTCGCTATGCAAATGTATCTTCTGTTGTTTTGTCCTAGACGGCAAGCTACT